CTGCCGCCAGACTCTGACAGCGAGGGGGTCTTATGAGTCGGCTTTGGAGGAGGGGGAGGACCCTGGACAGGGTGTCGACTCTGAGCAGAGTGAGGAGAGACTGGTTGGGCACCAGGTGGCGGCAGAGCATTGGATCAGAGGGAATGTTCAGGAAAACATTTGGGAGTTGTATCAGGATGCATGCAGGCGCAAGGCTACTCGGCGTAAAGAACAACGGAGTAACTACAGGAGGTGATTACGAGCAGCTGATGCTGATTAAGATCCTCTCCTGAGTATAAAAGAGACTGTTTGTGCCACACCCTGGTTGCAGGAGTCAACGTTCTCGTTCACGTTCATGATTTAGAGAAACCAACTTGGAGAAGTGGTTTGCTATGAGAACTTGTTTGCATTGCCTAGGTTTGTAGTAATTGCTGCCAGAGAGCTTTGTTTATTTTGGGCTTGTAGCCAACAAGAGTCTGGACTGATTAAAAGTATTCTTATTTACGTTTGCTTGTGGCTTTCGTTCCTGGATGGAGAAGGTGGGGGCAGAACACACCCTTAGTCCTTCTTTTCGTCAAACTACACATAGAAACCACAAACTACTTCTGGGCATTGTTGTAACACAGATATGGCAATTGTCTTTCTCTTGCAATTTTAGCAACCTTCGCGATGTCATTCTCTTTCTCTTCTTTTTGCTTTCTTCTTAAGGTCCCAGATGTCATCAGTAGTATAAGACAGGCTTCCAAAGTTGCCCTCAAAGAAGACGTCAAGCCCAATAAAGAAAATGAAGATGCCTTCTACAACTCCCAAAAGTTTGAGGTGCTGTATCGTGGAAAGGTGACGGTGGCCCACAAAAAGGCTCCCTCCTCCCTCATCGACGACTGCATCGAGAAGTTCCACCTCCACGAACGGCAGCGCCTGAAGCTGCTGAGCGAGCACTGCAGCACCGAGTCCAGCACGGACCTCATGACATGGGAGGATGGCCCCTCTTCCCCTTTGGACAACCCGTTTCAGGAGGTGGAGGGTTACAGCGGAGGCACCCCGGGGATGTTCATTGTTGGGAGCCAGACCAACCTGACCAGTTTGGCCAGCTGCCGGACCTCTTTCCCTGAGCGGATCCTGGAGGACTCTGGAATGGAGGAGCAGCTGGAGTTTCGTTCTCGCTGCAGCAGCGCTGCCAGCCTGCAAAGGAAAGCTCAGGAGAATAACACCAAGCCTTCATCCCGAAGGCGCCATGCCAGTGCCCCGAGCCACGTCCAGCCCTCCGACTCTGAAAAAAACAGGACAATGTTATTTCAGGTAGGGCCAGTTCCAGTGGTGGGATTCAAAAAAAAATTACTACCAGTTCTGTGGGCACAGCTTTGTGGGTATGGTTTTGTGGGCATGGCAGGGGAAGGATACTGCAAAATCCCCATTCCCTCCCCACCCCACTAACCTGTTTTCCAACTCCATTCTCCTGTTCAGGGCAACAAAATAAGATCAGCTGGGAGGCAGCAAGGGTGGGGCCAGCTTATTTGCTGGTTCTCTGAACTACTCAAAAATTCCGCTACTGGTTCTCCCGAATCAGGCAGAACTGGCTGAATACCACTTCTGGGCAGCCCCCCCCCCATGTTTTATTTATTTTATTTATATTACTTTCCATTTCCACCAAACACTGAGATCTGGGTACAGTTATTTAAACAGTCACATATTTGTATTATATTCATCACAATAATATTTATGGTATGACTATATATCAGTATAATTACAATAATACACAACATCATCATCAAATTCTCTCATCCTCATTGCATCGGCTTACAGTTTACAGCTTACAACCTTACATCAGCTGGCAGCTATTAAATCCTCAGTCCCTGACACAGGGTGAAATTGCATTGTTGTGAGGTAAACACAAGAATGCAAAGGAAAGAGTGAGGGGAGAGAAGGAAAGAGGGAGAGAGAGAATGGGAGAGGGAGGGAGGGAGGGAGGGAGGGAGGAAGGAAGGAAGGAAGGAAGGAAGGAAGGAAGGAAGGAAGGAAGGTTTGGACGTGTTTTTATAGCCCAATCTTGGCAGTTGATGAAAAAAAAACAGTCCTTTGCTCTCCATCTCTGATCAGCAGTCAATGGAAGGTGTTACAACTGCACTGATCACGTAAGGAATTAAGTAAAAGGGCTTTTATGCTCTGCAGAGGTCCACATAAATGAATATTTGCCAACCTAGTTGGTCGGCCATTTTGTATTTTGGTGGAGGGCAGAAGTTGGGACCAATTACTTTTGCCAGAAATACTCAGGTGGGAGTTGAGAGAAAAATGGAGGCAGTGTGGAAGATCTCGGTGCCGCTCCAGATCTGTGAAACCGAAGCGAAGGGCTGTGGAGTCTCTCTGCAAGCCTTTCTCATTTTTTTTTAGGCAATTAGTCAAGCAGGTCCTTGGCAGCATCTCTGCCTCATTCTTGGCAGAACATCAGTTTGGGAAGCTTCGCTTTGACGTGCCTTTGATAAGCTGTGTGAGGAAATACTTCGGTGCTGGGCCCACAGTTTTCAGAGCAGCTTCCTCCCCCCCCCCCCCCCCCCCCCCCGAGATATTCTGCATCACCTCCTGCTTTGACATGTTTGTTTTCTCTCTTCCAAGGTTGGTCGG